AAAAGGCCTTTTTGTATAATTCTGAAAAAACATTATTTTTTGTTTTTTTGTAACCAAACCTATTTTTTTTAACCTCTGGTTGTCCAGTCCTTACCTTTGTACCATTCCAAGCTATTCATTGGACTAGCACAACTTGAATTGCAATAAATAACTGGAAAAATTAGGGTGTTCTAAAACTTTTGACCGGTAGTGTATGTTGTAAACTGTGCTATACAAATAAAATTAAATTGAATTGAAATTGAATTGAATAGGTTGTGGGGGTGTGCTAATGTGTTAATGGCATGTTAATGGCACCAGGAGAGAAGAAAATGAACAGTTTGGGCCTCTTGGAAATGCTTCCCTGGTCTTTTCAGACTATATAGTTCTGTTAGCTTTATCAAACTGTGACAATCAACAAGCATGTAGTTGCTTTGCAGAGTGTTAGCAAAGCTGTGAGGAGAAAGCACCAAGTCTGAGACCATGGTTTTACTGTTGGTTAACAGCATTTGGTTTGCTGCTTGGAGGAGTTACAGACAGTACAAATGGAACTGTAAAGCTGTATATGGCACTGCTTTAAATTCCCCATTCGATCTACTTTCAGACCCGCACAGTAGCATGACATTGGGTATATACCTGGACAAAATTAGTTCCCCATATAGGATGGGTGAGTTCAGTCTAATGACCGGAGCTTGGACATCTAAAGGGAACTTGGAGTAAAGTTGCTATTCCCTTTTGTCTTGAAAGGATCAAGCTGAGGTGGTTTAGCATCTGATCAGAATCTAATTATTCTGTGAGCCCTCAGCCCTATGGATGGTGACACTATCATCCTGCTTGTGAGAGTAGGGTGAAAGATGACTCACCTGAACATATTACTGCTCCCACATCTCTGTAGACCAGTGACTTTAGTTTCTGCTCCACTTGACTCTCAAATGTGTATACAAGGTGTGTCAGAAAAGTTCCAGGACTGGTGTCACAAAAGATATATTTAAATCCAAACTACAAACTACCAGTTTTCCCCTTCCAAGTAATCCCCCTGGACTCTAACACACTTTCCCAGCCTTCTCTGCCACGCCGCCATGCAATCCTGGAAGGATTCTTCCAGGATCCTCTCAGCGTCGTCGTCACAGTCATCTGATGTCGTCCACGTCTTCAAAACCGGTCCCCTTGATGACCCCTTGAGCATGGGGAAGAGGAAAAAAATCCCACAGAGCCAGGTGGGGTGAGTAGGGAGGTTGACCCAGCACGACGATGTTCTTGTCAACCAGGAACTGTCGGATGCTCAGGGCGTTGTGAGCAGGCGTGTTGTCATGGTGAAGCAGCCACGACTTGTCCTGCCACAACTCTCACCTCTTCTTGTGCACTGAACGAAGCAAACGCCGCAGGATCTCTTTGTAGATGTGCTGGTTGATCGTCTGAAGGGGAAAACTTTGTAGTTTGGAGTTTGGGTTTGAAATATATCTTGTGTGACATCAGTCCTGGAACTTTTCTGACACACCTTATATATCTTTATAATGAGAGGTTTATACACTGCAAACCTGTTACAGTATCACTCTCTGTGAAACTTTTGAGGGACTGTTTCGTAAGGTCTTTACCTTACTATGTTTAGTGTTATGAGATGACATTTTGTGAAATGCACTATATAAATAAAATTGAATTGAATTGAACTGAGGGCTGCAGGGTGGCGCAGTTGGTTAGCACTGTTGCCTCACAGCAAGAAGGTGAATGTGAGTGTGCTTGGTTGTCTGTCTCTAAGTGTGGCCCTGTGACAGACTGGTGACCTGTCCAGGGTGTCCCCTGCCTTCACCCTAAGTGTGGGACAGGCTCCAGCTCCCCTGCGTCCCTAGTGAGGATTTAGCGGTGTATAGATGTTCTTGCTGACAGCAGGATCACTTGTTGCGTTTCCATTTTCAGCAATTTGAGAAAGAGTTGCACTTATGTTTTTCTTTATATACTGCACTATTGTACAACATCATTATCAACAAATCGTCATCTTAGAATTATATAGTTCTATCTGCGTTCTCGGTAGTTTTGAGATATTTACGTATAAAATTTTGACTGCTCATGTAGTCAGAATAAAATGAACATTAAATTGTATTAATACTTGAGAACTATAGGCATGCTAAAGAGAGTCGTAAACGTGTAATTTGAAATTATTTGAAAATTTGTAAGTGGTAGTTTTGGAAGTGGGTGTTTTGCAGATAGAACTTTCTAATTCTGAAAAGGCCCATTTCATTTGGAATTACAAAATTCCATCTGCAGAACATGTTAAAAACAATAACTTTTTGTCCAGAACTCAACTAATTTTTAACAAACAGCTATTTTTAACATTAAAGTGCATTTCCAAGTTTTTAGTTTTTCATTTTTTATCATTAGAAATGGCCAATGTTGCTTCAGTTAAATCTTTCAGATCAACGATAATTACTAAGTTAATGTAAATAACCTTAGTCAGTATTAAACTTGAATAATAGCTAATTATTTTTGCTCTTCAGATCTTCAGGTCTAACTTTGAATACAACCATGTGTGAATCAAAGGAAAATTTCACAAATAGGTCAAAAGTTATTGTAATTATTTTACTTATTTATAATACTATGAACACTGCCCAAAGGGCTCTACAGGTTTAAGTCCCATTTAAAAGTGTAGTTCATCAGAAATATACAACAAAAACAGTTAACAGTAAGATAACAATTGAACTTGTTATCTAACTCAGGTTTAATGTAAACAGTGAATTAAGTAGAAGGAAAAAAATGGTCACAAAATGGTCAATATTACCATTTATTACAATCACAAAACAGCGGAACAATCAGATCAATAATTTAACAATAAAAAATGCAACATGCATCTTTGTTGCATTACGTTCAATCTTATTATTTTCACCTTTGTTTTTTAAGAAACTAGAATTGCATGTTAACGTTAAAAACATGCTGGTCAAATTGACCCACAGTGGCGCCGCAAGATACTGCAGTGGCTCAGGACTACCTATCCATCTGATCCATGACATTTTTTCTTTCCCTGTTTTTTGCTTTTTATTTTTAATTAGCATCTTTTCTGGAGCCTCATTTGATTTTCTTTCATCTTCATTAGATTTTTTCTTCCTGTTTAAGAAAGGAAACAACATTGTTAAACTATGAGGAGTGATGGGCTACATTAAATCAATAACTACATAAACTAATTAATAACATAATAAATTCAATACAAATCGACTTATACTTGTAATAGTGTTGGGTATTTATTTCATAATCATAGACATTAAATTCAGTCGCTTAATCAATCAAAATAATTAATCAAAGCTACAGAAGTAAGATTAGCTAGGCTAGCTAACTTGGCTCAATAGGCTAATGGTAGTTTTTAACTTTTAAACAATAATAACAAAAAAAACAAAAACAACAAATAGGAAAAATATCTGACCTCTTCCTTTTGCTGCTGTCTTGAAAAATCTTGCTTAGGACTTCTTGAACTGTTAGTCTTTTTTTTTTTAAAAAAAACTTCTTTGATTGAGACATTTTGGTGACAGAAAGCTGCCATTACCTGTCAAGTCATACTAGTTGGCTACGTAGCTGCAAGCATTAATGTGATTGGTGGATTGTTATATATTCTGTGTTCTGATTTTCCAACACAGGTAGAACTTTATAACACTCAGTTTAGAGTGGAAATCGCAGATAGAACTATCTGTTTTTGTCAATTAAAAGCTAAAAACAAACAAACAAACAAACAAACAAACAGTATTGTATAGATAATATGTCCAAGAATCAGAAAATGTAAATAACTCAGTTTCGCCAAAAATGTCAGATAGAACTTTATAATTCTAAGGTGACGAAATGTGTCCTGATGACCACAATTTCTGACCCTAATTATTGTTGTCCTGATCGATCAGAATGCAGAAGTCACTTTAGTCACTGTTCCTATTGAAACCTAAGCTGGTTAAACAGTCTGCCATCCATACCCCAACTATAAGTCCTCCTTCAAAATCACTTTCTTTTCTTCTACTATCTTGAAAGTCTGAATCCACTGTGTCTGCAGAAATCATTACCAATAATAATCTACTTTAAGTTTAGTTCTAATTTCAACTAAACTTGACATTTACTAATGATACTTTTATACTTGATACTTTATACTTTGGTGTTTGGTGGTTAAAGAACAACCAAATTTTTATTTGTTTGTTTGTCTTATTATGTTGTATTAAAGATTTTACCTGAACAACTAAGGAAAACAATGCAACTTCTATTAAAAATAATATTCCTAAATATGTATGAGTTACATTTGCAAAACAAACCTATACCTATTAAACATTGTTGTTTTTTTTTTACAAAGGTTTATATTTTGTGGTATTTAAGCATTGCTGACTATGTTTGTCTCTGTGTGATTTTCCTGCAGTGATGATCATGTGTATGGGAGCAGACAAAATACGAGAGATTATGCTGGCTGCACATAGACGACAGTTAACTAGCGGCAATTATATGTTTTTTAATGTTGAGCTCTTCAATTCCTCTACTTATGGTAAGTTAACATCACATTACATTTATTCATTTGTGTTTATTATTATACATATTTGCAGTCTTACTAAAAGATCAAGCTTTCTCTGATCGATAGTGTAAGTCAAAAACTTAAAAAAAAATGTAGTTTTTGATCTGTACTAGAATTTGAAAATGACAAGTAGTAGTCCATAACCTGGTGTTTAGGATGTTTTGCATGTTTTGATTTAGATATGAGATTTGGGTGCATATCTAGTTGGCGAGATCTTGAGTTAGTAAAGACAAAACAGAAGTAAAAACTGAATACTAGACATACATTCATGAAGCGGACACAATCCTCCATGCCAGTTAACTTCCCCAACCCCCACTATTTTGTCCTCTTTACATCTTAACATTATTAAGTTAAATTCCGAAAATTATGGGCCTTCCTCCCAAACTCCTCATTTTAGTAAGCTCTGCTCTGTCACTATTTAACTCATCAGCCTGCCAGTGCTAGTGATTTTGACCAAATAATAATGTTTGTCCGTTATGTGTGGAAATGTACCTTGTTCTGTCTCTTTTAAATGAAATTCTAGGGAATGGCTCATGGAAGAGAGGAGATAAATACGACAACGATGCGAGGCAAGCCTATGCTTTTCTGAACACTGTGACACTGCTCAGGACAGTCAAGCCTGAGTTTGAGAATTTCCTTATAGAAATGACAAAATCCATCGAAAAAAACGGGCTTAATGACTGCAAAGACTGTGGAAATGTACGTATGTGTTTCAATCTCAAATTAAACTGATTTTCTCAGTCTTACATCTTATTACATCTTATTGAAACTGATTGATGTATGACGAATTGCAGTAGCTGATACGTGAGGTAGTATGTGTGGTTTAAGGCTGAGTCAATGGGAATATAGAAGTTTAAAAAATGTATAAATGAACAATGAAACTTAACATCACTTTTACAGTCATTGTACCTCTTCAGCACAGGACTTATGTTCTACAGTACTTCACTGAATCACTATGAAATCTTTTTACAAATATTTTACAAATAAATAAAACTTGTGCATTTTAGTGGCCATCAGTCCCCTACTAAAGAGGTACAATGAAGCGTCTTTTGTTGAAAAGGCGGGTTTTTGGTTATAAATAAATCTTCAATAGTGCTGCTTATGAAAAACATAGTTTTAAACCAGTTGCCAATAACTACAGTTTATCGCAACTAGTTAGCTAATTATATACATTCAGAAATAAATTTCACATTCACTTATGAATGTACATAATTAACCGGAGCAGGATAATCTGCTACGTAAATACAGCGGCAAGCAGTCCGCACTGATGTGATCTGGATATAAGCACTGATGACAAGTTGTCAGCTGACCAATAATGATATTTGACATCACATCAAGTTTCGGTTGTTGATCTGCGAGCTCAAAGGATTGTAGCAGATGTCTGTACTAGCACATTACCTTTGCTATTTGACAATGATGTGTGGTGACAATATGGCTAGTTAAAAACTCTTTAAGGTATTTAATTAAATGCAGTGAAGTGGCCACATAAACTAGATGACTTGTTAGGCTGTTGATAGTATGAGAGAAATATTCTTGTTCATATTGCAGTGCCCCTAGTATTCAAATGATGTGTTATGACAATGGTTTGGAACAACCTCATCCATCTCAGGTTTGGCGTCAGACATGAAACATTTGTTGAGATATGAACTCAATTCATGTTTAAGGCTTTGTCACTAACTTTCCTTATTTGTAAGGAAAAATTGGCTTTATTTTAGATTAATCTGAAATTAATCGAATATCTTTTGTGAGTCTTAGTCTGAAGATCATGTATGAGCAATTGTAAAACTTATATAAATTCCAACATGGCAAGTCTATCAATGAGGTAAACATGACAAACTGACAAGTTGGCATGTTTTGCCTTGGGTCGTCCCACACGGTCATCAGATGCAAGAATGGTTTGAGGCAAATAAATCAACAGTTATTAGGCATCAAGAAGTTTTGCAGATTGCATTGCCCCTAGGTTTGTTTTTGTTGTTGTCTTGGTTTGTTAGTTTTTTGCTCTCTCAAAATTGGATCAGCTCTGAAAGTTGATTCCCAGTAAAGGTAGTTAAAGTGATAATTTATTTAAACAGTTTCTTCAACTTCAAATACTACAAAGTTTTTCTTTACCGCAGTCAGACAGCAGTGTTCTTGACGTACACACATTAGTCTTGATGAAGGAAAATCAGTGTGCTAAACTTTAAACTTTTTACCATATGGTTCTAAGTAGAAATGGTAGAAACACAATGGAAACCTTTGCAACTTAAATGCTTTGTCCCTGGGTGCCGTGGTAGCTCAACTGGATAAAATGAACAGGGGCTATAGTTCCCAGATGCAGCAGTGGTGGGTTCGACCCTCGCTCATGACCATTTGCTGCAGGTCTCCCCCCATTCTTCTCCCCCCTTTCCTGTCTGTCTCTATTGCTCTGAAAAGGCAAAAAGGCCATATATACATACATACATACATACATACACACACACACACACACACACACACACACACACATATACAGTGGGGAAAAGAAGTATTTGAACCCCCTGCGATTTTGCAAGTTCTCCCACTTAGAAATCAGCTGGCTGATCTAGAGAAGATCTGTGTGGAGGAATGGGCCAAAATCCCTGCTGCAGTGTGTGCAAACCTGGTGAAAAACTACAGGAAACGTTTGACCCCTGTAATTGCAAACAAAGGCTATTTTACCGTATATTAACATTGATTTGCACAGGGGTTCAAATACTTATTTGCAGCAGTAACATGCAAATAAATTATTAAAAAATCATACATTGTGATTTCCGGATTTTTTTTTTAGATTATGTCTCTCACAGTGGACATGCACCTACGATGAAAGTTTCAGACCCCTCCATGATTTCTAAGTGGGAGAACTTGCAAAATCGCAGGGGGTTCAAATACTTCTTTTCCACACTGTATATATATATAAATACTTTGTCCCAAAAAACTTTCAGTTTTATCTGGGATGGGCCAAGAAAATTAGATGAGTATGTTTTGACCCCTTTACCACTAGTGCCAAGTCTGCGTTACCGTATCGTAATTATCAATGCATCCAAAGGTAGTGTTCTGCAAAGCATTGTTAACAACTGTTTTCAAAAAAAGAGACAAGGTGACATTGTGTAGTGTAACTTCAGAATTTGGCAGTACTTTCATTTCCCTTAATGACTTTATGTTTAATGTTAGGTCAACATGTTTGTTGAGGGATTCCATGATGCCATGTTGCTGTATGCGATCGCCTTGCATGAAGCCATGAAAAGTGGATACAGCAAGAAGAATGGAACAGAGATAACGTCACGCATGTGGAACAGAACATTTGAAGGTAAAACACACTCGGCATACTAGAAGACCAATGTTAACATAACACTTCACCCTCTTTGAAACAGTTTAATAAAAACAGATAGAATACTTAAATGAAATAAATATAAAATTGACATTCTGTAGCTTTTTAAAAATAAATTGTAATAATAATAATAATAATAATAGTAATATTTTAGTCACAGGACATTTACATTTGCCACACTTTTATGTCAGAGAAATGACAATCTGGTTTCCAGATTGGATGCCAATGATTACAAGCTCCTGAGTGACAGATACAGCCTGTTGTATTTAAACCTCTTACATCTAGGCTCTGCTGTTCGCTTTGGTACTTGAAATGTGTGTGTTGTCATCATGTCAAGATATGAAGCATTAGGGCAGGGAAAAGGTTGTGGATGTCTGTGACTCTGGCAAGACATTTAAAAAGATCTCCAAATCATTTGAAAAAAAATAATTTTACTGTGGGGGAAAGTAGTGTAGATTTCAAACAACTGCCAGTTTGTCTAGTACTGGATACTTCAGTTCAGCTCACAAGCAGATCATTTAATACACAAGGAGGTCTCCAAGAACCCCAACATTTCATTACAGGATCTGCAGGTAATTCTGCACCTGATGGTGTCAAAATGCTGCTTCTACAATCTGGAAGAGATTGCAAAAAATTGAGCTGTATCAGAGGCATGACTGGAAAAAGTCCTTGCTGTCCAAAAAGGACATTTTGGCAAAACTGCAGTTTGCCTATAGATATACAAAGACCAAGCCTTTTGGAATATTGCTCTCTCAACAGGTGAATGAAAGATAGAGTTGATTGTCCACAATGACAGTAGACATGTTGATGTGAAGATGTGAAGAAATGCTGTCAAGTAAGAATACTTTAAAATAAATAAAATAAAAGCATAATAATAATAATAGTTTATGTTTATCAACTTCCAAAATGCAAAGTGAGTGAACAGAAGAAAAATCTAAATCAAATTGATACTTGCTGTGCTCACCCTTTCCCTTCAAAACAGCATCAATTCTTTAAGGTACACTTGCACACGGTTTTTGAGGTAGGTTGTTTCAAACATCTTGGGGAACTAATCACAGATCTTCTGTGAATGTTGGTTGCCTCAATTCCCTCTGTCTTTTCATGCAATCCCAGATAGACTCAATGATGTTGAGATCATGTCTCTATGGGGGCCATACCATCACTTTGAAGACTCCTTGCTTTTCTTTAAACTGAAGATGGCTCCTACTGACATTAGCTACATGTTTCGGATTGTTGTCCTGCTGCAGAATTAGTTTGAGGCCAGTCAGATGCCTCCACTATGGTACTGAATGACGGATAAGTACACTGCTCAAAAAATAAAGGGAACACCTAAACAACACAATATAACTCCAAGTCAGTCCCACTTCTGTGAAATCAACTTGTCCAGTTAGGAAGCAACACTGATGGTGAATCAATTTCACCTGCTGTTGTGCAAATGAAGCAGACAACAGGTGGAAACGAGAGGCAATTAGCAAGACAACCCCTGTAAAGGAGTGATTCTGCAGGTGGTGACCACAGACCATGTCTCTGTTCGCATCCTTTCTGGCTGATGTTTTGGCCACTTTTGCATTTTGTCAGTGCTCTCAGCCCTAGAGGTAGCATGAGGCAGTGTATGCAACCCACACAAGCTGCTCAGGTAGTGCAGCTCATCCAGGATGGCACATTAATGCAAGCTGTGGCAAGAAGGTTTGCTGTGTCTCTCAGCACAGTGTCCAGAGCATGGAGGAGATACCAGGAGACAGGCCAGTACACCAGGAGACGTGGAGGGGGCTGTAGGAGGGCAACAACCCAGCAGCAGGACCGCTACCTCCTCCTTTGTGCAGGAGGACCAGGAGGAGCACTGCCAGAACCCTGCAGAATGACCTCCAGCAGGCCACTAATACGCATGTTTCTGCTCAAACTGTCAGAAACAGACTCCATGAGGATGGTATGAGGGCCTGACATCCACAAGTGGGGCTTGTGTTTACAACCCAAAACCTTGCAGGGCAATTGGCATTTGCCAGAGAACACCAAGATTGGCGGATTCTCCATTGGCACCCTGTGCTCTTCACAGATGAGAGCATGTTTCACACGGTTCACATTGGAGACGCAGTGGAGAACGTTCTGCTGCCTGCAACATCCTCCAACATGACCAGTTTGGTCGGTCAGTAATGGTATGGGGAGGCATTTCTTTGGAGGGCCACACAGCCCTCCATGGGCGAGCCAGAGGTACCCTGACTGCCATTAGGTACCAGGATGAGATCCTCAGACCCATTGTAAGACCATATGCCGGTGCAGTGGGCCCTGGGTTCCGTCTGATGCATGACAGTGCTAGGCCTCATGTGGCTGAAGTGTGTCAGCAGTTCCTGCATGGTGAAGACATTGATGCTATGGACTGGCCTGCCCATTCCCCAGATCTAAATCCAACTGAGCACATCTGGGACATCATGTCTCGCTTCATCCACCAACGCCACGTTGCACCACAGACTGTCCAGGAGCTGACTGATGCTTTATTCCAGGTCTGGGAGGAGATCCTTCAGGAGAACATCCGCTGCCTCATCAGGAGCATGCCCAGGCGTTATCAGGAGGTCGGTCATACAGGCATGTGGAGGCCACACACACTACTGAGCCTCATTTTGACTTGTCATGAGAAATGTCCACTGAAGTTGGATCAGCCTGTAATGTGATGTTTCATTATTATTTTGAGTATGATTCCAAATCCAGACCTCCATGTAGGGTTGTCATGATTATAAAATTTTAAACTCGATTTCGATACTGGGAAAAAACTCGATACTCGATACCGATTTCGATACCATGGAGGGGAAAAAAAATAAATCACCGTTTCATTGAACATTCTTGAGGTAGAATATAACAAATAACACTCCTTTTGTCAAAAAGCTTCTGTAACAGTGCGAACAAAGAATTGTAAACAGCCTTAAAGTGTGCACTAAATACTGTAAACAGAATTGTTCTGGAACACAATTTCACAGATAAACTTTTAAATATAAAAGAATCGGCAGAAGAGAACTTTTTTAGGTGCCCACCAGACATGGTCATGGTTGCTGATGAAATAAAGCAGGTCATGTGGGCTGGAAGGATTTTGATTGTGGATGGTTGTTCTTCTTCAGCCTCAGTTTGGCTCTAGAAGAAAAAAACGTTAAAATGTGTAAAAAATTACAAATCAGGATGTCACATTCAACTAAAACCCCTGATTGCACCAACAACGTAAGCTTATTCACCTTTTTATCCTGGGGTTAATATGAACTCACGTAGAACAAGTTCAGTGCGTTTGTGGTGGAAGTCAACTTTTACATTTAATGAGGGATGAAAATATTTATCAGACCATGTAGACCAGTTTTACGTTTTTCCGTGTGCTTGCTAAAAGCCTCATAGTGGTAATAATAACACATATTACGTGTATTACGATGGAGGAAAATACACTAAAAGAGCCGCGATGGACGTCAATCCATATACACGGCTACAGCAGCGAGCCGCTAGCTTTATCTTAATGCTAGCAGAGACGTTTTTTTAAACTAAATAAGCACTAATTTGTTGGTGAACCGGATGTATGTTTAGTAGTACACTCTTTATATTATTTACAAACCTGTTTCATGTCGTCGTAGAGTTTGGGGTGTCTGTCTTCCAGATGTCGTGTTACTTGACTTGGTGGCTTCGCCTTGAAGCTCTGCTGGATACGGGCCGGTCACAGTGTGTCTCCTCTCCTGACTTGGTTGTGGTATCCAGATAGCAATTCTGATATCTGAATATTCATCGCCGCCGATGATAGAAACAGAACCATGACCGCTATCTTAAACTGGCATTAGCAGCCAGGTACCGCCTATGCATCCCGCCCACTTCCACTTCCATCAGAGCGCTATGGACCAGCCCCACTGGTCGGACTGTTTCCTTCCAAGCTGCGCCTTCTTCTTCTACTGATTCCCATCAGGCTGCTGTACACAGCGCCACCCTGGGCTCTGGAGGGAACACGCGTGTCAGAGTCAACTGAGCTAGGCCACGAGAGACGGAAAAGTATTGATACCACGGGAAGTTAATATCGCTGCTCAATACCAGCTTTAGTATAGATTTAGTATCGAGGCATCGATATTTTTGACAACCCTACTTCCATGAGATAATAATTTTGATTTACATTGATCATTTTTATGTTATTTTGTTCGCAACGCATTCCACTATGTAATGAATAAAGTTTTTCAACTGGAATATTTCATTCATTAAGATCGAGGACGTGCTATTTTAGTGTTCCCTATTTTTTGAACAGTGTATCTGTTTGTACTTCTCAGCATTGAAGACATCATTAATCCTGACAAAATCTCCCTCTCCATTTGTGAACATGCAGCCCCAAACTTGCAAGGAACCTGCACCATGCTTCACTGTTGCATCCGGACACTCCTTACTGTACCATTCTCCAGCCCTTTGGTGAACAAACAGCCTTCTGCTGCAGCCAGATATTTCAAATTTTGACTTATTGGTCCAGAGCACCTGCTGCCATTTTTCTGCACCCTATTTGAGTCGCTTGGCCTTGTTACCACATCGGAGGAATGGCTTTTTGGCCGTAATTCTTCCATGAAGACCACTTCTGGCCAAACTTCTCTGGACAGTAGATGGGTGTCCCAGGATTCCATTTGTGTCTGGTAGTTCTGAGCTAATGGCCCTGCTAGACATCTTCATATTTCAAAGAGAACTAAGCATAATGTGTCCGTCATCTGCTGCTCTAAGTTACTTTGACCAACCACTACAGTCCTCTTTGTGCTTCTTCAGATCTTTAACAGCACATCTTGAAACCTCGCCTGCTTTGAAGCCTTTGCTTGTGAGAGACCTTGCTGATGCAGTATAAAAACCGTGTGTATTGTTGCTATGCTTGGTCTTGCCATGGTGTATGACCTGTGACATGAAGCCGTCTTCCACAACCTCACCTTGGTAGCAGAGTTTGAAAGCTCCTCACCCAGTTTTAAGCCTCCTACACAGCTGTTTCTGTTTCAGTT